CCCTAACCCTAACCCTAACCCTAACCCTAACCCTAACCCTAACCCTAACCCTAACCCTAACCCTAACCCTAACCCTAACCCTAACCCTAACCCTAACCCTAACCCTAACCCTAACCCTAACCCTAACCCTAACCCTAACCCTAACCCTAACCACTTGATTTTCCGTTACATCTTGTTTTTCCGTTACCTTTTACATTTTTACTGATAACTCCACAACCATCCATCATACAGACATAAGAGTACCACCATTCAAATTGTCTCTCTGAGCTGGTTAGAGTGGGCCTATTTTTGTTAAAAAATATCAACCTTTGAATCTTATGTTTTACTCACTATTTGCTCTATAGATTCTGTTGGTCAATTTTGGCATTCTGGCATTCTGACATTCTCACACACTCTCTTTTCACAACTCAGTCAATTCTTGTTCAAAATGGATGAAACCATATTCATTTGAAAGCTATTCCTCTACCTAACAACCTCTCCAATTTTTAGGTGAATTGCCTTGCCGGTTGTTGAGATATAAGTGGAAATACATGGTGCCAGCCTCACGCCTGTCAGAAACACTTCTCACATTATTACTCAGCAACCACATGATCTTTTCATCTGAATTTTGAGAGCCAAGCTCAATAACACTCTTTAAACAAACTACCAAATTTTCTTTACTTTATCTCTATTATTTGCTGTGTTATTACACTCTTTTTATCTGAAAAATCTCTTACCGGACACTCTCTTATTTTGATTTTTCTTGCCAACATTCTTGCTTACTCACATTTTGTTAAGGTGTGTCAAGCTAAGCTAGAGCTCTTATCTTATCTTATCTACTTCCATCTTATCTCTCTACCCCTTCTCATCTGATCTTTGCTCTCCAGATCTCACACCAGCACTAAATCAGCCCTATCAACTTGATACTCTTGGTATAGCTAAGCCAAATTGATCCCTGCAAATTCTGACCAATCTCTACTAAATACTACTATGTTCTATACTGTTTGGTAGCTGAGAAATCAGAATTAATTAGTGAAAAATAGCTTTTCAAATACTTAGAGTAACTAAGTTTTTGAACTAGGAACAAGCTTGTAAGAATTCACCTGCAAACCTCTTACACAGACAAACAACATTTGTGAGGGCCCAGGGCCTCAGCTTGTGAGCTGTTGGGAGTACATGTATTCTTGCAAGGCACTAAGTCATGTGCTTGCAAGCACACATAAAAGGCTGCCACTGTGTGAACCTCTTGTTAAAAGCCAGTGGCAATCTTGTCTACAAGTTGTACATAGTTGCTAATACCAGACCTTTTACCTTGCATACTTTTTTCCACATACAATTTCTCCTATAGATTCATTGTCATGCTGATCCACATGTACAATCCTCACAAAGCTATAATATAAGCTACCTTGCAAATCAGAGCAGTTTTCATTAATTTTTCTGCATTTAAGAAAAAAATCAACCTAGATTTCTAGTGACTTAACAGGTTTGCTATCTTTTCCATCTGATAAAAGATATGCTAGCTTTCTGGTGCTGCTACATCTGAAAAAACCAGCTGCCCTTCTCACTTTTCTGCTTAGAATATACCTTATTTTTATAGTATTAGCTTTAGCCTCTTGAATGTGAGTCTTTACTACTAAATTTAAGAATATTCTCAGCTGGTTTCTCAAACCTTTCCTGCAAAAAGCTCTCTAGTTTGATACTTCTCTTCAAAAAGTATACTTACTAGTATTAATTTAACTGATTTTTAAAACTTAATTGCTCATATCTCTTAAATTTACTAGCTTGCCCTCTTGCCCTCTACTCTGCCAATAGTTTTTCCATTGTTTTTATTCTAGAAGCTGTTTCCGTGATCACAGTCTTGAAAAAAAACTATATAGTTTGCTAGTTCTCTCAAAAAACTAGTCCAGAATTTAATAGGTGTAGCTCTAGCTAAAGAAAAACCTACTACATTGAGATTTTCAGCTCTCAGTAAAACAACTGAACTAGTTTGGGTTAACTAGCAAGTGGGATACAAAATAACCTCAGAAGATCTTCTTAAAAAAGTAATTTCAAAAGATTATCTTCTGTTTTCTTATTCAAGAAGATATTTCTTGAAATATAGTCAAAATGCCTTCTACTTCTGATTCTTCTTCTGAATCTGAACAGCAAGATCTAAAGTCAATTCTCAAGCTTCTTGCTAAAGAATCTCAGAAGAAGAATCATGTTCTTGTGTAAAAAGAACTAAATGCTTGTATCTTGAGTATACAAAAAATCTTTTCTTTTAAAGAAAAAGAAGATACTACTGTTTTTGAAAACTCTAAACTTCAAAATCTTGAGAAAAAAATTATACAGCTTGAAAATCAGAAAAAAGCAGCTACTAATAGTAGTAATACTTCACAAAGCTGCTCTCAAGAGAAAATATCTGCTAGTAATACTTCCAAATCATATTCTTCTGCTCTATAACTGGACTAAATACTGAATCTTCAGTTAAATCTTCTTTACTCTTTAAAGTAAATGGTAAAGAAGATAAAAAACAGTTCTCTGAGCCAAAACTCTTTAGAGAAAGAAGACTAATTCTCAAGATAAATACTCAAGTACTTGAAGAGATCAGTAACAAAGCTTTCTTCTTCAGAAATAGAATAAATGACAGCTTTACTGAAGCAAATATTACTGAAAAATCAGTTATTTCTTCAATTGCTAAGTCATTTAGAGGCCAATCTCTAATTCTAATAACAACAGAAGACTTTTCAGCTGATTTTCTTCAAAAACACAAGCAAACTTAGATATCTATATTCTCAGATCTAATGAACTTTGATATAGAGAGCATGAAAATTCACAAAGATGAGGACTGGAAAGTTTTTGTAGTTCACAGTATCTCTACAGAAATCTTTAATATAGAGAATGGATTATCTCTTTTAAAAGAAGAGATAGAAACTTTTAACTCTATCTCTTTAAAAAGAACCCCAATCTGGCTATCTTCTGCTGAAAATAGAATACAGAAAAGACATACATCTGCTGTCTTTCATGTGCAAAATGCTACAATAGCTGAAAATCTGAAAACAGTTGTAATTGCTGGACAGAATCTTAAAGTTTGTAAATACAAACAATCTCTCTCTCTCTCTCTCTCTCTCTCTCTCTCTCTCTCTTCAGAAAGATTTAGAAGCACTGTACAATACTTTAACTATCAAATCTATGGACATACAGCACCAAACTGTAAAAAAGAAGCTAGATGTGATATCTGTGCTCAAAAACATCAAACAAGTATGCATAAATACTCAATTTGTGAGATTACTGGAAGAAAATGTGTACACTCTACATTAAAATGTGCTAATTGTCTAGAAAATCATGTGGCTAAAAGTACAGAGTGTGCTTTCTTCAAAAAATCCAACTATTCAGCACAAAATACTAGTAAATCAATGCAACTAGTAAGAGCTGAGCAGAATCTTTCCAGAACTAAACCTGTTTCTAAGAGATCTCATGAAACAGATTTTGAAGATGAAAATCAAGTTGTAATCTCTAAGAAGAAGATTGAAGTTAGATCACCATTTATTAATTTATGTTAAATAAAACTTCAAATACTTTTTCAAAATTGATCTTTCTTCAGAATAATGTTGGAAGAAATGAAAAGTCAATGCATACATGTCTTGATATTGGGTTTGAAAAGAAAATTGATTATATTTTATTTCAGGAACCATAGATGAGCTCAGATAATCAGTTTACAGTCTCTCATAATGCATATTATTGCATTCTTCCTGAGAATAAAGATTTGAGATCTAGAGTAGCTATTTTTCCTAGAAAACAGTCCAGATATCAACCCTGCTTAAGATCTGACATATGCTCTAGTAATGATCTTCTAGTTATAGATATTAAAGATAAATACAATCAGTTTGAAACCATACAACTGATAAATATCTATAATCAAAAAGATCTAGAGGACAACTCAAATCTTTGGACTATTGAGAGAGAATTAGTAAATATCTCAGCTTCTCAATACTCTATTGTTACTGGAGATATAAATGCTCAACATTCATGGTGGAATTCAAATATAGTCAATTCAGTTAGAGCTGAAAAACTAGTAGAATGGCTTGAGGAGAATAATATGGATTTAATAAATGAGATAGACAGAGAAACTTTCTTCAGACCAAATCTATCATCTAAATCAATTATAGATTTGACCTTCTTCTCCACCAATTTAACTCAAAGGATACATGAGTGGTGAATTGATGAAGCTCTTCACTCTGGCTCTGATTATGAAATTATTAAATTCAGTATTGAACTAAATACTGAAAATCTTGTTGAAAATCCACCCTATTCAAATCAATATAACTAGGCTGGTATTCGGGACCGGGACGGGATCCCATTTCCCATTGAATCTGGTCCCCATCCCAAATTTAGAAACAGCCAGGATCCCAAATATGAAATCTCAGTCCCATGTCCCATCCCACTCAAGAGCTTGAGGTCCTGTTCCCATCCCTATTCCAGAAATTATTTCCCGGTCCCATCCTCAAATAGAAAATTATGTCCCACATCCCATTCCAGCAGAGATGGTAGACTCCCATTTCCCATTCTGGCCGGGTCCATAGTGGGACTGGGATGGGACCAGGATTCCCGGTCCCATTGTGTCAAATTCATAGGGAAGAGTCAAACTGATCAAATTTTGTGTGGACTGTTACCAAATTTTGTTACTTTTTTGATGAAGGCGGAACCCATAGAAAAATCAATTTGATTGTCAAAAGAAACCAAGTATTAAAACTAACTAATGGCTGAAGCCAGCAAACAAACAGGAACTGCCTAAATGGCAAGTTAATCATTATTATTATCATCTTCATCATCATCATCATCCTCCTCCTCCCCCTTCTTCTCCTTCTTCTCCTCCTCCTCCTTCTGCTCCTCCAGAACTGGCTTTGTGAACCGGACAGGAGCTCTAATACCTGCTATTTGATGGGTGGAGACCCTGACAGTGCCAGGGGGAGGCAGGGAGGTGGTGGTGGGTGGTGGTGGTAGTGGTGGAGCAGCAGCAGCAGTAGTTGGCAGGGCAGGGGCAGCATGCAGGCAGCAGGTGGTGATGGCAGGGGTGGGACAATCAGGCACATCAATCAGACTGAAATAGTTTGACCCAATTTTGGCACTGATGCCAAGAACAAGCTTCATATTATTGATGTTAACTGTAATGTGCTTATGGTGTGCCATTGCCATAACAGAGTCTATATTACTCAGTATAATTATTGGTGCCATTGCTAAGAGTGACTTACACTCAAACAGAGTGCACAAGGTTGCTTCAGCTGCCTTCTGAAGTGACTCAATGGCAGTATGTTGCCAGTGATATTCATGTTCTTGGTGACAGGACAAAGTAATTTCCTGAACCAATTGCTGGAACAGGGCCACTGGCAAGATTAGCTCAGTAGAGCTCTGGAAGTGGCAGATTTCCTTAATGGCACCTATTTTCACTAATTAGCATCAAGACTGTTATCAAAAATCATTACTTTCACATATTATATTCTCTGGTATTCTGGAGAGCATGCTTGTTCAAATGTTATTGCAAACCCTTCAAGCACAGCTTGTGTGTTGGGCCAATGTCCCTGCTTGTGTGAACAGGCCTGAAATGCAGTGGTGATACTAAGTTTCTGGTGTCTGAGTGTATGGGAAATCACTTTATCACTTAAAGATCTGATCAGGGCTGATCTCTTTTTTTTATTTTATCTGGTTTGATCTCAGATCAGGTAGAAGTACCTGCTGAACTTAAGCATATCAATAAGTGGAGGAAAAGAAACCAACAGGGATTGTCTCAGTAACAGCAAGTGAAGTAGCAAAAGCTCAAATTTGAAATCTGGCTTCATGTGAAGTCTGAGTTGTAATTTGGAGAGGACACTTTGAATGCAGTCACAGCATAAGTTCCTTGAAACAGAATATTATAGAGGGTGAGAATCCTGTCTTTAGCTGCTGGACTGCACCCATGTGAAGTTCCTTTAACAAGTCAAGTTATTTGGGAATGCAGCTCTAAGTGGGTGGTAAATTTCATCTAAAGCTAAATATTGGCTGGAGACTGATAGCACACAAGTAGAGTGATTGAAAGGTTAAAAGCACCTTGAAAAGAAAGTTAAATAGCATGTGAAATTGTTGAAAGGGAAGTGCTTGCAACCAGACTTGATTATGGAAGCTCAGTGGGCATGTGTGCCCATGTACTCTCTCATGCTCTGGACCAGCATCAGTTCTGGTGATTGATTAAAGGCCTCTGGAAAGTATCATTCTCTGGAACATCTTATAGCCAGGGGTGCAATGTGGCCAGCTGGAACTGAGGAATGTGCTTTAACATGGATGCTGGTATAATGGTTGTAAGCAGCCTGTCTTGAAACATGAATCAAGAAGTCTAACATTCACACAAGTGTTTGGGTGTCAAATCTGTGCACACAGTGAAAGTGAATGGAGATGGGAGCCTGCAAGAGTGCATTATTGACTGATTCTGAAGTCTTTGGATGGATTTGAGTAAGAGTGTGGCTGTTGGAATCTGAAAGATGATGAACTATGCCTGAATAGAATGAAGCTAGAGGAAACTCTGGTGGAGGCTTGCAGTAGTTCTGACATGCAAATCAATCATCAAATTTGAGTATAGAGGTGAAAGACTAATCAAACCATCTGATAGCTGGTTTCTGCTGAAGTTTCTCTCAGAATAGCAGTAATATTTTCAGTTTTATGAGATAAAGTGAATAATTAGAGGCCTTGGAGTTGAAACAATCTTAATCTATTCTCAAACTTTAAATATGTAAGAAGCCCTTGTTACTTAAGTGAACATGAGCATTAGAATGAATTGTTACTAGTGGGCCATTTTTGATAAGCAGAACTGGCAATGCAGAATGAACTGAATGCAAGATTAAGGTGCTGGAATGCATGCTTATCAGACACCACAAAAGATGTTAGTTCATCTAGACAGTCTGATAGTGGCCATGGAAGTTAGAATCCACTAAGAAGTGTGTAACAACTCACAGGCCAAATGAACTAGCTCTGAAAATGGATAGTACTTAAGTATGCTACCCATACCTTGCTGTTGGAATAGAAATGAAGTCCTAATGAGTAGACAGGTGTGGAGATTTGTAATGAAGTCTTGAGAGTAATTCTGGATTGAACAGCCTCTAGTGCAGATCTTGGTGGTAGTAGCAAATACTCAAATGAGAACTTTGAGAACTAAAGTGAGGAAAGATTCCATGTGAACAGCAGTTGGACATGGGTTAGTTAATTCTAAGACATAAAGTAGTTCTGTTTGAAAGTGTGCTCTAGTGTGCTGTTTGTTGAAAGAGAAGCTGGTTAATATTCTGGCATCTGAATGTGAATTCTCCATGGTAATGTAACTGAATACAGAGATGTTGGCAGGAGTTCTGGAAAGAGTTCTCTTTTCTTCTTGATGGTCTATCATTCTGAAATCAGTTTGTCTGGAGCTAGGGTTTCATGGCCAGCAGAGCCCCACATCTTTGTGGGGTCTGGTATACTTCTGATGACTCTTGAAAATCTGTGGAAAGGAATAGTTTTCATGCCAGGTTGTACTTATAACTGCAGCAGGTCTTCAAGATGAAAAGTCTCTAGTTGATAGAACAATGTAGATAAGAGAAGTTGGCAAAATAGATCTGTAACTTTGAGAAAAGAATTGGCTCTAAGAATCAGGCACATTGGGTCTTAGAGGAAAACCTCTAAAGCAGGAGGGCACTAGCCAGGCAACTGGCAGGTGCCTTCTAGCATCAGAGTGCAGATGCCCTTGGCAGGCTTCAGCTGTCTGGTGTGTGATTAACAACCAACTTAGAACTGGTACAGACAAGGGGAATCTGACTGTCTAATTAAAATATAGCATTGTGATGGCCAGAAAGTGGTGTTGATGCAATGTGATTTCTGCCCAGTGCTCTGAATGTCAAAGTGAAGAAATTCAATCAAGCATGGGTAAATGCCAGGAGTAACTATAACTCTCTTAAGATAGTCAAATGCCTTGTCATTTAATTAGTGACATGCATGAATGGATTAACAAGATTCCTACTGTCCCTATCTACTATCTAGTGAAATCACAGCCAAGGGAATGAGCTTGACAAAATCAGTGGGGAAAGAAGACCCTGTTGAGCTTGACTCTAGTTTGACATTGTAAAAAGACATATTGGGTGTAGAATAGGTGGGAGCTTTGGTGCCAGTGAAATATCACTACCTTTATTGTTTTTTTACTTATTCAATAAAGCAGAACTGGGCTTTACTACCTAACTTCTAGTGTTAAGATCCTTTGTGGGCTGATCTGAATTGAAGACATTATCAGATGGGGAGTTTGGCTGGAGCAGCACATCTGTTAAATCATAATGCAGATGTTCTAAGAGAAACTCATGGAGAACAGAAATCTCCAGTAGAACAAAAGAGTAAAAGTTCTCTTGATTTTGATTTTCAGTGTAAATACAAATCATGAAAGTGTGGTCTATTGATTCTTTAGTCCCTCAAAATTTAAGGCTAGAGGTGCCAGAAAAGTTACTACAGGGATAACTGACTTGTGACAGCCAAGTATTTATAGTGATGTTGCTTTTTAATCCTTTGATGTCAGCTCTTCCTATTATGCTGAAGCAGAATTTGATAAGTGTTGGATTGTTCACCCACTAATAGAGAATGTGAGCTGGATTTAGATTATTGTGAGACAGATTAGCTTTACCCTACTGATGAAGATCACTGCAATGGTAATTCAATTTAGTACAAGAGGAATCATTGATTCAGATAATTGGTTTTTGGGGCTGTCTGACCAGGCAGTGCTGTGAAGCTACCATCTGCTGGATTATGGCTGAATGCCTCTAAGTCAGAATCTGTATCAGAATGTGGTGATGTTACTCTGCATGTTGTAGTTGGATATGAATAGGCCTACAGGCCCTGAACCTCAGCAGATCAGTAACAGCTTCCAGAAAGAGACTCTCAGACACCAGCTGACAGATTGTAATGTCACCATGCATGGGGATAGATCCTCTGCAGACAACTGAAATGATCAAGTAAGTTGTGTAAGTGGTCAAGTAGCCTAGTTGTTATGAGTTGCTGAGTGTCAGCCTGATTCTTGGCTCAATTTGTTATAAACACTCTCCATCAACATGTTTGTCTTTGGCAATGCCAGGGACTTGGAGAAGGGTTGTTTTGATAGAAATGATATTATATATATATATGCAAGAGTCTTAAGAAGTAGTTAACCAGTATATGATTAATCACACAATCTTTTACATATCTTTTGTTTTTCCCTCACTAAGTTTGACCTTGTGATGATCTTGATATCTGAAAGAGTTCTAGAAGTTGGCCATCTGACATGACTGGAAGAAATAAAAGATGGAGCAATATGGAAAACATAGCAAGTCTTTCTGGATACATTATTTGATCAGAAAACATTTGCCTTTGAGAAATTATTCATCATATGTGTGTTGCCAGAAGATGAAGAGAAACAACAAATGGCATTCATATTGGGTGCAAGATTGGAGCATGTGCACATGTTGTTCTGGACAGGTATACACTGTGCACCTGCTCCAGAGTCTGCACTCAACTCCTGGAGTGCAATGTCTGTGGCTGCAGAGCAATGTTATTGTAATGCTACAGACCATTATGCTGTAGAGTTCCTGTTTGTATTATGGTGCAAGTGTTTGAGAAAAAATCAAGCTAGCAGGATGACTGAATGGAGAACATATTATCTTCTGCTACTACAATTGCAAGTGTCCGCAGGTGAAGATATGGAGATGATGGATCATACATTGGGCAGATAGACAACATGATGACAAATAACAAGCAATATAGTAACTAGACAGATAAAAGAAATAAGTATATAATAAAATACTGGACTTTTATAATAAAATAATTACTGTTCTATAATAAAGAATATCTACTGCAACTGATGGTGATACATATGCAGAATATCTATATAAACAAGTAGTAGAAATATAGAAGCTTGTATATTTAAGAATCTAGAATACTTCACCAATGACAAAAGAGCTACAACAACAACATATGAAAAAGTACTTTGATAACTCTATATCTTTAAGTCTAAGATCTTTGAAGAAGAAAATAATGTTACAAATGTAGATCTAGATCAATCAAGCATTGGATGACATCAGATATCTAGAGATACTTATATGATCCAACTTTGAACATATAAGAAATACATGATTTGCACAGATTGTGGGAACCCCAATGTTCAGTCTTCTAGTTAGAGGACCTCTACATTCTATACATAACTCTCTTTTATCAGTTGCAGATATCAGATCTACTTAGCTCTTTCATATATCTTTCTGGAAAAACCCATGTAACCTACAACTGGTTTTTTTAACAAATAAATAACAATACTTATATCCAGATAAGATAGAAGAAAGAGAAGAAGGAAGAGGGCAAAGAACTCTGTATTTATACTTACATCACAATACACTAAAATTGCTAGTTTTACAATTTGTTGATAAATAACATAACAACAGATAATAGACAACAGGCAATATAGTAATCAGACAGACAAACAAATGAAGAAATAAGTACATGATAAAATACTAGACTTTCATAATAAAATAATTACTGTTCTACAACAAAGAATATCTACTGTAACTAGCAGTGATACATGCAGAATATCTATATAAACAAGCAGTAGAAATACAGAAGCTTGCACATTTAAAAATTTATAATACTCTGCCAATGACAGAAAAGAGACAACAATAAGATATAAAAAATCAGTTCAGTAGCTCTATGTCTCAGAGTCTGAGGCCTCTGTGGAAGGGGAATAGTGTTATAAATGTAGATATAGATCAACCAAGTATTAGATGATATTAAATGTTCAGAGATACTCACATGACTCCAACTCTGAATGTATAAGAAAAACACAATTTATACAGATTTGGGGAAATCTCAGTATTCAGTTTTCAAGTTACAGAAGATTTATATTCTAAGCATAACTGTGTTCAGTTGTGGGCATTGAATCTACTTAGATCTTTCATACATCAAATGCTGAGAAAAGCTACATAATGTACAACTGGTTCTTCTAATGAAGCAGAGTACAATGGGATGGTTTGTCAAGGTAGACAAGTTGGTTAATATGGTGAGAGCACAAGAAAGGTGAAAAATCACAATATAGTAAGGGTATGATCAAGTAGTAAGTGTAGAAATAGGTATGTTCTAATGGATATCTAAGCTTATAAGAAGTAATAGTACTAAAAAGCTCTGTACTAACACAGACAGCTTTAATAAGAAATAGTAGCAAGTTTCATGAACAAAAAATGTTCATATTCTCTAACTAATAAGCAAACTGGTAATAAAGAACAAGTGTGTGGAAAGTGTAATGGTGTGTGAAGGTCATAAGCAAGATGCAGAGGCTATAGACAGTTTATATAGCTCAGAGATAGTAGCTTTTAGGTGGTTTGTATCTTGGACTGGAACAAGCTTTGTTCTAATGAGGTAGCAGAATTTCTACTACACTAACAGGTAAGATTTGATGCAGATGTATGTGTATGAAGCAAATAGTAAGTAAGTAAGAAGATGTAAAAGTTAACATATACCAATAATGAGTAAGTCACAAAAGAGTAAAAGTTAAGCAGATGCAAAAGTTAATATATTGTAATAAAGATAGAGTTATTGTAAGTAGATAAGCAAGATGATTTAAACAGCAGTAGTGTCAAGTTTATAGAATTAAGAATTGTAGAGAGAGATGAACAAATATGTAATAAGACCCCCCCCTGGGAATCATGTGCAGTTTGAGCTTAGTTAAACAGAATAACTTAACTGAAGTCCCCACATCAAGAAGGACACATGCCTGTAACTAGTTGACAGATAGTGTGGCCTTTATAGTCTCTGACTGCATAAGGTCTACGAAAAATATGAATTACACACACACACACACACACACCAAGGGGCAGAATAGACTCTGGAAGTGTCAGATTTAGATGAACAATCAGCACTGATAGAGCAAATAGCAAGTAAGATACAAGATTCAAAAGCTAAAATATTATAACAAAAGTAAGATGATTGTAAGCAGATCAGTGAAAGCATTTAAACAGTGATAGGGTCATGTTTACATGAGCAATGGTTGTGAAGGTATGGGTAAAAAAAAGTGTATGGGTATCTATAGGCCAAATGCTGACTAAAACATAACATCTAAAAGTTTGATATATTTTAATGATAATAGGCTCATTCTAACCAGCTTAGCGAGACGATTTGAACGGTGGTACTCGCATATCCATACGATTGATGGTTGTTGAGTTATTGGCAAATATGTAGATGTAACGGAAATTCAAATTGGGTTAGCGTGAAAAATGACGCTAACCAAATTCATAATTTCCATTACATGCCCTTTTTCTGCACAAGCAATAAGCAGTTTCAATTAAGAGTACCACCAAAAGAATCCTCTCAGTGAGACCTTTCTGGTATCCAAAAATTATAGATCAATTCCATCTATTAAGATTGCAGGAGGTGCATGATGTTGTGGTGAATTTGATAATGTTCCTGTCACAGAATTTTGTTGGGTTGCAAAAATAATTATCCAACACCAACCTCAGACCAACAGTTCAAGTGTGCTACTAGTGATTTACCAACAGGCAAAGCTGACAATAGTCAAAATTGACAACAGCCAAAATTGATGACCAAAATTTACAATGGTCAAAATTGACAACCAAAATTTACAACAGTCAAAATTGATGACTGTAAAAATTGATGACCAAAATTGATGACTGTAAAAATTGACAACCAAAATTTACAATGGTCAAAATTGATGACAACCAAAATTAATGACTGTAAAAACTGACAACCAAAATTTACAATGGTCAAAATTGACAACCAAAATTTACAACAGTCAAAATTGACAACCATAAAAATTGATGACCAAAATTGACAACTGTAAAAATTGATGACCAAAATTTACAATGGTCAAAATTGACAACCAAAATTTACAACAGTCAAAATTGATGATGGTAAAAATTGACAACAGTAAAAATTGACAACCAAAATTGATAATGGTAAAAATTGATGACCAAAATTTACAATGGTCAAAATTGACAACCAAAATTTACAACAGTCAAAATTGACAATGGTAAAAATTGACAATCAAAATTGACAATGGTAAAAATTGATGACCAAAATTTACAATGGTCAAAATTGACAACAACCAAAATTGATGACTGTAAAAATTGATAACCAAAATTTACAATGGTCAAAATTGACAGTCAAAATTGACAACCATAAAAATTGACAACTGTAAAAATTGACGACCAAAATTTACAATGGTCAAAATTGATGACCAAAATTTACAACAGTCAAAATTGACAATGGTAAAATTTGACAACCAAAATTTACAACAGTCAAAATTGACAATGGTAAAAATTGACAACCAAAATTGACAATGGTAAAAATTGATGACCAAAATTTACAATGGTCAAAATTGACAACAACCAAAATTGATGACTGTAAAAATTGATAACCAAAATTTACAATGGTCAAAATTGACAGTCAAAATTGACAACTATAAAAATTGACAACTGTAAAAATTGACGACCAAAATTTACAATGGTCAAAATTGATGACCAAAATTTACAACAGTCAAAATTGATGATGGTAAAAATTGACAACAGTAAAAAGTGATGACCAAAATTTACAACAGTCAAAATTGACAATGGTAAAATTTGATGACCAAAATTTACAACAGTCAAAATTGATGATGGTAAAAATTGACAACTAAAATTGATGATGGTAAAAATTGATGACCAAAATTTACAATGGTCAAAATTGACAATGACCAAAATTGATGACTGTAAAAATTGACAACCAAAATTTACAATGGTCAAAATTGATGGTCAAAATTGATGACTGTAAAAATTGACAACTGTAAAAATTGATGACCAAAATTTACAATGGTCAAAATTGATGACCAAAATTTACAACAGTCAAAATTGATGATGGTAAAAATTAACAACAGTAAAAATTGATGACCAAAATTTACAACAGCCAAAATTGACAACCAAAATTGACAACAGTAAAAATTGACAACCAAAATTTACAATGGCCAAAATTGATGACCAAAATTGACAATGGTAAAAATTTACAGTCAAAATTTACAACAGCCAAAACTTATGATAATCAAAATTGATGGCAAACATTCACAGTCAATTTCCCTGCCACATCAAGCAAATGAAGAAAGATAAACAAGCACAAAATCTTGAAATTAGAATCAATTTCCATCTCTGCATTAGCTATTGGTTTTTGAATTTCACTGTTGGTGCTGCACTACCAGAATTAATATGGCTGAAGTAGCTGCTCTTCATGATTTGCTTGTGCCCATCTGTCCTGTTCCTGCTGTACACATTGACATATCTGTTCAAATTCTCTATCAACAACCCATGTAAGTAACTCAGCTGTTGAGAGGGTCTGCCTCATGATCACCAGCTCTTGATCTTCTTCTTCAGTCATGGGCATTCCATCCTCTGAGTCCTCATCAGAGTCAATATTATAGATATCTGGCATTGGCTGGATGGAGCCAGCCACCTCTGGAGACACTGCTAGTGTCTTTTCTCTTCTTGTCTTCTGCCATCAGTCCATCATTGCCTGCACAAAAGGCCATTTGAAGTGGAAGGGAGCAGTTGAACCAGGAAGTTGGTGCTTGAAGTAGCATCTGTTTCCTTGAGAACAATAAAGGTACTCTGCCTTATACCTATTCTCTCTTCATTTCCCAACACTGGCTTCAAAAAACCAGCACAGTGTTTCCTTTTGACATCTGAGATACTGCTTGATTGTGGCTGAGTGCTCATCTTCAGTAAGTGGCCACACTGAGACCATCACAACAAAATGGATGGGGAAACAATACAGTGGGTAACATCCTCTGTTTTTGAGCAGGTTGTTGTCTGGTATCTAGGGCCATCCATTCTTGTCCTGTTCTTGAATAGTTGTGATGCACTCTGTGGGCCTCCATCAGCATTAGTGTTGCAACAAGCACATTACCAAACAGAGTCTCTCACCTGGACAAATGTAATGAATGCAGTTTGATAGCACTGGAAAGATTGTGGGTATTGTTGTCTCTCTGCAGACAGGACACTCATACATGTGGCCTAACTCTGTGCTCCAGTCAGCCCTGGTCAAGAAAATTGCTGTGGGATAGGACTCTTAAGCCCATACCTTTGCCACACTCATCCTGCAAGGCATGTCTCTTTTCTGCTGGAACATGTCTGAACCAGCATTTTGTTCCTTGAATGCAGTTCCCCCTCAGCCAGAACTTGCAGTGGACTATCTTCTTTTTTTTAATTTCACTTGGGGTGTCACCCCCAGATGCTTGTGTTGACAGGCTGTGCTGGAACTTGCAGCAGTCACCAAGCTGGCATTTTCCACAAATCCAGTATCTGCAGCTCATGCTGCTTCAGGTGCTTGAGTGTCTGATGATCCACCACACCACCAAGACAAGTTGGTTCAACAAACCCATCATGGAGCTGCCCCCCAACCACCATCATGATGTCCTCTGCAGCCTAGAGCCCAAGGTCAGAGACAAGCTCCAGCAGCATGAGAAGCATGAAATTCAACAACTAAAAGACAGCTACATGAGAAGCTTGCAGGAATGGAAGAAGCACAGTTAAGGATCTAAATCTGAGCTTTCCAGCCAGACTTTTTTCAAGAAGTTGCGCATAAACTGGATCATTGCCATCTTCCCAGCTCTTCTGAACCTCATGAAGACTGAGCAACACAAGCTCAAGCTCACTGACAAGGAGATGATGGAGAATGAGTGGCATGCTGGTGGAGACAAGAAGATACTGTATATTCATGCAATTGATGCCCTGGCCAATTCCAGCTCCAAGTGTCATGCAATTCAACACATCCTGCAGGGCATGGGGAGAGACTATTGTGGGCACCCAGAGAAGATTATTATCCTGACAGAATTCCCCTGTGTGGTTCACATGCTTGAGGTGATAGGTCACCATGTCCCCTTTTCTTGTGTTTTCTTCCCCAGCTAACTTTCCACACAGTAGCTGCAGAAGCAAGGCTACTGCATTGCAGCAGTCTATAGCAGTATGAGTGTTGAGAACTGAAACACATACATCAATGCCTTCAATCAGAACCTGCCACTGCCTGGAGATGAGACTGATGCAAGTTCAGGTATCCTGATCAGCACCCTGGAGATTCTAGGCATAGGCTACACCTGTGTTTGTGCCTTCCAACTTATCCTGCTGAGCCCAAGCTGGTTGGAGAGGGATAAGACTCAAGACAAGGCATGCATCCACCACTACAGGCAGATGAATGAGGCCATGTACATCTACCACCTGGTGTGCAGAGATGTCCAGGTCAAAAGCAACATTCTTGACCAGCAGGCAATGCAGAAGAGTTTCAATAAACTAGCCATGTTACTGCAGAGAGAGATTAGTATAGTTTCAGACATTATTGATCTGGATACAGTATGAGACCCAGTGTGGCTGCATGGCCATGAAATTTAAAAAAAAACACCCAAGGATCATGCAGCACTTCTGTCAAGATGACTAGATATTATTAGAGATATATGGAACAACCATGACTGTTTGCTTTAGACTATTTGTTCTGCAGAGTTGAATAAATCAGTAGTTAGGTCTAATCAAAGCAATTTTAGCTGAAAGCCATTGATTGTATATTCTACTGTAGTTGTGTCCATGCTGAATACTTGGCAGTTAGATGTGCTGATGAGTCTTCAGCCTGGTAACAGTGTGACTGGCTAATATTAGCATTCTACCAAGTTTGTGCCGGCATATCCACTAATGCCATTGAGACTATCAGTGTGGCGCCCGTGGCCTTTCATCCAAGGAGAGGATCCTCTTGCCCAGAGATATGCAAGATATGTCATGACATAGCAATGCTGAGTCTCTTTTGCCAGTCTGGAGCTTGAGATGCTGCTGAAGTTCCACAGTCTTTGAGCATGGCACAGCAGAACATCTGAATGTGTTTGATTTAGGGTACTTATGGTGATGCTGGCTCTCCCTTATCTGATGGAAGACTGAAAATAATCTCTATGTTAAGAGATAGTCTGGTAGAATATTTGATGAAAGCAAAAGTGAACCAAGTATGGTTCTATAACTGAAGATATCAAGATAAAGTGTATGCATCTGATGATGAAGTAATATTGTTATCAAGAAATCTATAAACAATATATCCTTGTAAGAAGTTAGATGACAAGTACTACAGATCTTTCTTAGTGATAGAGACTATAGAAAATAACACATATTAACTGAAGCTCTCTCTGAGCTATCAGATCTATAATATTTTCCATGTCTCATTGCTGGAACCATACTGTATGAGAATGGGTGAGGCACCAACACATTCTTTCACAGTACTAGTGAATGACCATTATAAGTGGGAAGTAGACAAAACCTTGGACAACAAAGTGCACTATCATAAGAAACATTATCTAGTGAAATGGAAGGGATTCTCTATTGAGGAATTAATATGGAAATCTGAGGAAAATCTTGAAAATGCACAAGAGGTTCTTAAGAATTATCTACAAAAAAAGCAAAGTTACTCTAAGACAAACAAATCTATGTACAAAAAGAAGACTAGACATGCTAAAAATCATCACACATAATAAAACCAAACAACTAGTAACAAGAAGAGATATCATGAGAGCACCTAAAATACAGCTATAACAGAGATAAACCAGCTAAAGACAGACATGATTCTGAAGTTGCTGGAACCAGTAGTACAACAACAGACAGTATTGTAATGAAAGTAGACTTAACAGACAAAGAATCACAAGAAGAACAAATTATATCTACAATACTTCAGAAACCAGAAAAGACAACATCAGCCAAACAGTTAATAAAAGATGTAAGATTGATCTAGACAGAGATTAGTCTGATAATAAAAGAAAATAGTGAAGAAAATCTACAAGACTACTTTCTGTAATACTCTGAAGAGCTTTGACTTCATCTGTTAAACAAGTGGTGAAATAATCAAGCAAAACTTGAATGTTTCTAATTTTATTTTCTATCTGAGACAGGACAGTACAAACTGGGGTTATTAGATGAAGAAGCTCAGACAGACTGTCTTTGGTAGATTTTATTTCAGATACAAGGTCCACAGTTTTGGTCTTATAATATGATGCAGGATAACAGTATTTTATAGAAGATTCTTCAAGACAAGAAGTAGTCTGACAGCAACAGTATTTGGTGGCTCCAGAGTCAAGTTCACAAAACTCTTGCATGAGTACACTCATGCACTTTATATTGTACAGGTGATGTGGATCAGCTATATCAAAACTATAGTATTCTTCTCAAAGTCACAAGAGCTGATGAACTAGTTTGACAGTGGATTCTGGAATCTACAACTATGTTAGAACAACAAGAAGAACAGACAAAAATGTACTTACATTACAACAGATACAGATTTGATGTTCTAAACAATAAGAACAAGATTTCTTCTCAGTATTCTATAGACAAGACTTGTTTTTATTCAGGTGGTTTGTGAATATTGAGTAAACACAGACAGAGCACAGAAGAATATCTTCTTTATTATATATAATAGAGTCTTTTAATGATGATATTGTGATGAGTTATAAAATAAATAAGAAATAATATCTGAGCTCAAACAAAGCAGAAGAAAAAGAAGAAAGAAGAGGGTCAGAAACTTTTTATTTATATTTACATTACAATACACTAAAGTTGCTAGTTCTATAACTTGTTGATAGACAATGTGACAACAGACAACAAACAATACAGCAACCAGACAAGCAAACAAACAAAGAAACAAGTATATGATGAAACACTGAACATTTATAATAAAATAATTACCATTCTACAACAAAGAATGTCTACTGCAACTAGCAGCAATACACATGCAGAATATCTATATAGATAAGCAGTAGTAATGCAGAAGCTTGCACATTCAAGAACCTATAATGCTCCACCAATAATAGGGGAGCTATAATGACATACAAAAAACCACTTCAGTGGCTCTATGTCTTGGAGTCTGAGATTTCTTCTATAGGCCAAATACTGACTGAAACATAACATCCAAAGGTTGATATATTTTAACAGCAATAGGCTCATTCTAACCGGCTCAGCAAGACGATTCGAATGGTGGTACTCGCATATCCATACAATTGATGGTTGCTGAGTTATTGACAAATATGTGGATGTAACAGAAATTCAAATTGGGTTAGCATGAAAAATGACACTAACCAAATTTGTAATTTCCATTACATGCCCTTTTTCTCCACAACCAATAGGCAGTTTCAATTAAGAGTACCACCAAAAGAATCCTCCCAGTGAGACCTTTCTGGTATCTAAAAATTATGGATCAATTCTATCTATTGAGGTTGAAGAAGGTGCATGATATTGTGGTGAATTTGGTGATGTTCCTGTTGCAGAATTTTGTTGGGTTGGAAAAATAATTATCTGACACCAATCTCAGACCAACAGTTCAAGTGTGCTACTAGTGATTTACCAACAGGCAAAGCTGACAACAGTCAAAATTGACAACAGCCAAAATTGATGATCAAAATTGACAATGGTAAAAATTAACAACAGTAAAAATTGACAACTGTAAAAATTGATGACCAAAATTGACAACTATAAAAATTGATAACTGTAAAAATTGACAACCAAAATTGACAACAGTAAAAATTGATGACCAAAATTTACAACAGTCAAAATTGATGACTGTAAAAATTGATGGTCAAAATTTACAATGGTCAAAATTGATGGTCAAAATTGATGACAGTAAAAATTGACAACCAAAATTTACAACAGTCAAAATTGATGACTGTAAAAATTGATGGTCAAAATTTACAATGGTCAAAATTGATGGTCAAAATTGATGACAGTAAAAATTGACAACCAAAATTTACAACAGTCAAAATTGACAGTTAAAATTGATGATGGTAAAAATTGACAACCATAAAAATTGATGACAGTAAAAATTGATGGTCAAAATTTTCAATGGTCAAAATTGATGGTCAAAATTAATGATGGTAAAAATTGACAACCAAACTTTACAAGAGTCAAAATTGATGGTCAAAATTGATGATGGCCAAAATTGATAACTAAAATTGATGACTGTAAAAATTGATGACTGTAAAAATTGATGACCAAAATTGACAATGGTAAAAATTGACAACCAAAATTTACAACAGTCAAAATTGATGATGGCCAAAATTGACAACTGTAAAAATTGATGACCAAAATTTACAACAGTCAAAATTGATGGTCAAAATTGACAATGGCCAAAATTGACAACTGTAAAAATTGATGACCAAAATTTACAACAGCTAAAATTGACAGTCAAAATTGATGACGGCCAAAATTGACGACCAAAATTGATGATGATAAAAATTTACAGTCAAAATTTACAACAGCCAAAACTGATGATAATCAAAATTGATGGCAAACATTTGCAGTCAATTTCCCTGCCACATCAAGCAAATGAAGAAAGATAAACAAGCACAAAATCTTGAAATTAGAATCAATTTCCATCTCTGCATTAGCTAATGTAATCTGCAAGCGAGCGAAATCCACAAGTGAGTGAAAGATTAAATTAATGCATCTCAACTAACTAGAATTTAACCCAAAATACTAATGCTCAACAACCTCTAAATAGATTAAATTACATTGCAATAGGACTGGGGCAGCTTCTTCTTGTATGGCCTAAAATATGGCAGTTCATACACCTTGGTGGTGCCTACAAATGTGATACAGGCTCTGAGGCTGCAGGCTCAGAGAGTTGAGCAACTGACTGTTCAACAGATTGAGCAGATGGAATGACAAGCTCAGCAATCTCTTCCCTAGTTAGACCTCCTTCACATTGAATTTGGTGCTTAGATCTTGTATATTTTTGCTTCTCTTTCTCATTTGCAGCAAATATATCCTGATATTGCTTCTTCATAATAGTGGTGTTGACCATTCCATATTTGCAGGCCCTGATAATTTGATCAAATCCTTCCACTAAACCCTGGAGTGAGCTCTTAAGCCTCTGCTCCATAAGATTCTTGATCTTATCCGCCTGCCTATGCAATTGCCAGGGGTTGTGAGGTGTTTGTAGGATTCAGAATGACACTGAGTTGCTAGATTGGCTAGCTGGGGGAGTGGGGATTTGGAGTTGAATATCCAGCTGCTGAAGAACCTAATCTGGGTCAAATGGAGCTATTCCAGTAGCTATAAAGCCACTTTAAATGTTCTGAGTCTTGAAGGCCTCTGTATATGCTGTAGGATAAGCATCCAGAAAATCTGCCTTCTTAATAGTGTTGATTCCAAGCTGCATTTGCTGTTCAACTAGACTGCCATATGTCTGCTTCAAAACTGCAAAAACACTCACATCAAGAGGCTGCAAGAGGTAGGATGAATGTGGTGGCATGCACAGAGGAATAATTTTATTCTTCTTGCGGATATAGTTAAATTCTGGGGTAAGATAACTGCTGTGCTCATCCAGAATAAGAAGTATATGAGTGCCAACCCTCTGTGGATTTGCAGCAGGAATAAATAGCCTAGTCAGCCATTTGATTCCTATCCCATCTGTGGTCCAGCTATTAGAACTAACATCAAGCCTCCAGCTAGCTGGAAGCCCATCAAACCAGCCTTCCTGTAGATTTTGCTCCTTAAGAATGATATATGGGGGCAAGGCCCAGCCTGAGGCATTGACTGATTCAATCACTGTGACTCATTCTTGATTTCCAGGCTGTAGAAGCTTTGCTTGGCCATAGTGCTCAGCACTAGTAATAACCTTGGTAGTTGTGCAGAGGCCTATTGCAAATCCAGTCTCATTAAAGTTGTAGATATCTTTCATTAAGATTCCATGCTCAGCAATTATATCTCCCAGAGTCTTAAACCAATCCTGAATAATCTTCCTATCCTCATATTTTGCTTGCTTGTGATTATAGTGTCTGAAATAGCAGCATTTGAGCTCTGTACAGTGTTTAATCAGATTTGACACCTATTTCTGGCCAATATGGGGGGGAGGAGAGGTAGGATCTTGCATTGTAAGAAGATAATTGGCCATATTTTCAACAAATGCTGGTCAGAGGGGAATTCCTTGTTTAGCTAGGTCTAGAATTCATTGAACTAGCTGATTCTCTTCAGGCTTAGTCAATTTAGTTGAATTTGCACATAGACTGATTTGTGCACATCTTTCTTTTGCTTGATGATAAGAGGTAGTATAAGGCACATTAAATAGCCGTGCAGCTTCAGCAATTGAGCTAATTTCTTGCTTTTTAAGAGTAGAAATAGCAAGTTCAATCCTGCCCTCTATTTCTATAGAGGATCTTGCATTTTTATTGTGAATTGGTGGCATTCTAACGCATTGAAGTGGATGGTTGAGGAAGTTGAAAAAAATCTTTTGCTTGCTTGTGGATTTCGCTTGCTTGTGAATTATGTTATTGGTTTTTGAATTTCACTGTTGGTGCTGCACTACCAGAATCAATATGGCTGAAGTAGCTGCTCTTCATGATTCACTTGTGCCCATCTGTCCCATTCCTGCTGTGCATGTTGACATATCTATTCAAATTCTCTATCAACAACCCACATAAGTAACTCAGCTGTTGAGAGAGTCTGCTTCATGGTCACCAGCTCTTGATCTTCTTCTTCAGTCATGGGCATTCCATTCTTTGAGTCCTCATCAGAGTTAATGTTATAGATATCTGGCATTGGCTGGATGGAGCCAGCCACCTCTGAAGACACTGCTAGTGTCTTTTCTCTTCTCACCTTCTGCTGTTGGTTCATTATGGCCTGCACAAAAGATCATTTGAACTGGAAGGGAGCAGTTAAATCAGAAAGTTGGTGCTTGAAGTAGTATCTGTTCTCTTGAGAATAATAAAGATACTCTGTCTTATACTCATTTTCTCTTCATTTCCCAACACTGATTTCAAAAAACCAGTACAATGTTTTTCTTTGATATCTCAGATACTGCTTGATTGCAGTCAAGTGCTTGTCTTCAGTAAGTGACCATACTAAGACCATCACAATAAAATAGATAGAAGAACAACACAGTGAGCAATATTCTCTGTTTTTGAGCAGGTTGTTGTCTGGTATTCAGAGCAATTCATTCTTATCTTGTTCTTGAATAATTATAATGCACTCTGTGGGCCTTCATCAGTATCAGTATTACAACAAGCACATCACCAAACAAAGTCTCTCATCTGAACAAATGTAATGAATGCAGTTTGATAGTACTGAAAAGATTGTAGATATTATTGTCTTTCTGCAGACAGAATACTTATACATGTGATTTAACTCTGTACTCCAGTCAGCTCTGATCAAGAAAATTACTGTAAAATAGAACTCTTGAGTCTATATCTTTATCATGCTTATTCTGCAAGATGTGTCTCTTTTCTGCTAGAATATATCTGAATCAGCATTTTGTTTCTTGAATACAGTTCCTCCTCAGCCAGAACTTGCAGTGAGCTATCTTCTTTTTTTTAATTTTACTTGAGATGTCACCTCCAGATACTTGTGTTGACAGGCTGTACTGGAACTTGCAGTAGTTACTAAGCTGACATTTTTTATAAATCCAGTATCTGCAGCTCATGCTGCTCAGCTGCAGTGCCTGGACAGACAGACAGGCACTTAGTGAAGCAATAAAAATGTGATAGAAGCTGGATCAGCAGTGGTTGGCAAGATATTATAAGGCAGGTCTTGGATGGCTTTTTGATATGTAGAATTGAGAAGAGACTGAAAAGCAAAAACAATAATAAGTCATCAATCACAGCAAATAGCATTTCCTATAAGAGTTCAATATAATTATAAGATTAGAGGGATTCTGTAATGTTTACATTCTCTTCACATCAACACTTTGCTTCAGACTTTGCTTCTCACTCACAATATTTCTGATTCTGACAACCTTCTCAACCACAATTGCATGGACTTTAAAGTTTCTTGATTATCTCTTTCAGTATTCTATAGCTGCATTATAAGTTCAGAACACCCATCACTCACTTAAGCATTATAAGACACTCAGATCAGAGCTGACTGAACATCTAAAGATGCTGAACTACTGTCAAGAACTATTATAAGAGATTGAGCAGCTGTCCAGTATCAAGAATCATGTGTTATAAAGTCAAGATCCTGCTTCATTTTGCAAAGATAGTAAAATTCAAAAAGATTTGCTCTGTCACTGCCTTATTTCTGCATGACATCAGATCAAGAAACACTGATATAATATTTCTCCCAGTACAATGTGATAACAATGAATAAGATTCATGCCAAAGCCATGCTTGGCTTGACAGTGGAGAAGCTACTTAATCTGAAAAAGATCATGCAAGAGCTTTATGACAAGAAGATTCAGAATCTTATCTATCAAGCAGCAGCTAAGAAAGTGCTGAAGAAGAGCTGGATTACTGTGGTGGAGTATATCATTTCTCAAGAAAGCTTTGCCAACAAGATTCTGCAGATCTGAAAGAGTAAGTCTAACTGTGAGAATATCTGTAAGATGCTTGTGTGGCTTCTTATGCAGGTCCAGTACCAGAAAACAAGATAACAGTAGTATAGCATCCAGCAAGATTTATTTCCTGAGTTTGTAAGCTCCCAGATTTTCTTATCAACATCTGTTTAGCAGTTATTATTGACTACAGCTGTCTCCAGACTAATGTCTTCTCTCTCTGCACTTGAGTCTCTTGAGACCTGTCCCACTATATCAAGCACTCTGTAATATGTGCCAGATTTGACCAAGTCTTTAATACCTACAGCCAAAGAACTTTACCAAGCTATTATCTTCACCAGAAACACAGTCTCTGACTCTGTATTGATCTGCCAGATTAATAAATTACTGTCACATTGCATGCTAGACAGACAGAGAACACTCTCTGAGAAGAATTAAACAGAGTGGCAGAGTATTCTAACTGCTGACTGTAAATTTTGTTGTGACTTTCAGATTATCAAGAGCTCAGATGAGCAGATTACTATTATTAACAAGTGACTGTGGCAATCAGTGGGTGTGATACAGCTAGAGAAGATTCTAAGCAAAGAAACAGATGAATCTCTGACTCTCAAGTTTATGATTACTGTCTGAGACATGGAGCCTACCCATATATGTGAAATTCAAAAAAGACAAATTAAGTCAGTCACTGGCCCTAACAATAATGGCAACATGTCTGAAGGCTCAGAGACAAAGTTCTTAGATAATGATGGATATTATGATATGCCTGCAATCTGCTGATACTGAATCATCACATACTTATTATCTTCTGCCATACTGTTTTTCTCTCATTCTCTCTCTCAACACAATCAAGACAGTCTCCAGAACAGTATGCATATAGATATGACTGTTAATGAGCTGCATTGTGACTACAAGAATAGCTTTAATAGAATTAATAGCATAGCTAGCTACCCAGATACTTCAATAGACTTGAATACTGTAATAGATTTATCAAATTCAGATGCTGTGTCCACTGTCTCTACTGAAGCTCAGGATCCTCAGAATGGCCCAACTCAGATTATAAATGATCATGAATATGACTCCACACCTGCACATATTGTGGTTGAGCAGCTGGTTCCAAGAACAACATCAGCACTAACTAAGAATAATGAAATTCAAAATAAATATCCACCAGCTTCACCCAGTGAAATTCAAAAAGAGAGCTCACCAACTCTATTCTGTAAAATTTAACAAGAGTGCCACTTTCTAAATGTTAAGATAATCAATAGTGATGACACTTTACTCTTGGACACAGGTTATGAGTTTCTTGACAAGGTGACACAACTGGAACCTGAGCCACAAACCAGTAATGAGAACAACACTAAGCAAGTTGATCAAGCAGAACTCATCAAGTCTGACAGATTTTGATGTAAGCAGATGGACAGTCAAATATAGTGGCATTTCACCAGTTTCTTCATGCTCCCACAGAATGAAAATGATGGCACAGATCTAATCAGAAAGATTCTTATTTATAGTATGCTGTAAGATGTCTTGCCTCACCAGCTGTACTGTGCATTCTGAATACTTCTCAAAAATCAAGAATTAGAGCAAGATAGATTCATTGCTGACAAGATAGAAATTAGCAAAACTATAAAGATGATATTGTACTTTGTTCTGAATGCCTGAATTATCTACAACTGTCTATATATCAAACAGTGCTGTAAGAATTCAGCAATAGCCAACAAGCATCTTTCTGCAGTCATAAATACAGAAAAAGAACACAAGAGTTCAAAGCAGTATTATCTAAGATATTTCTCTCAGAATATGTTTCCCATTCTGTGTGTCTGTATTCTGAATGAGGTGACTGCACACTGTCTGAGTCAACCACTGCAAGATATAATACTGATAGTAGCACCCAAAGATCTTTTTCCTCTGTAAATAAGAGAGTAAGATAACTTTATCTCTGGTGACTCAGAGAACTGTCTAAAACTGAATCTCTTTATTAATTATAAAGACTTGACTCTTACAAAGATTAGCAACTTGAGCCATGTGTTCATACAGACTGCACAGCATGCAATACTGAGATAATATAATCTGAATTCCCAGCAGTATTATTAGCATATGTTTCTGACCACCCTGGACTCACTCTTCAGCTACATGATGATACTTCTTCATGACATTCAGAAACAAGATGCCCAGCAATTGTGATGGCAAGCCATAATCTGAGATAAATGCCACCAGAAGAAGAGCTTTAACAGCAAGATCATCAGATAGTTTTGAGAGATCAACTCAGCTGCAGAGAAGCAAGACTATACTCCAGCTATCTGGCTGCTTTCCAGAACACTGTATAGTAAAAAACTGACAGACATGCTCTTTTAGATAACAATACTGGCCACTGCTGAATGAAAAAATAATACCAGACTGCAATTTGCCCAACATAATTAATAGAAGACTCTCTCAGTCAGAGTGCAGCTACTGATCAGCAAGAAGCAGCTGTCCAAAATGAATTAGATTAAGTTCTAATTAGCAGTACACCAGTTTGATCAGATACTTGAGTATCTGATAATCTGCTGTATTACTGAGACAAGTTGGTTCAACAAACTCATTATAAAGCTGCTCCCCAACTGTCATCATGATGTCCTCTGCAGTCTAGAGCTAAAGATCAGAGACAAGCTCCAGCAGTATGAGAAGCATGAAATTCAAAAACTAAAAGACAGCTACATGAGAAGCCTGCAGGAATGAAAGAAGTATAATCAAGAATCTAAATCTAAGCTTTTCAGCCAGACTTTTTTCAAGAAGTTGTGCATAAACTGAATCATTGCTATCTTTCTAGTTTTTCTAAATCTTATAAAGACTGAGCAATATGAGCTCAAGCTTACTGATAAGAAGATGATGGAGAATAAGTAGCATACTAATGGAGACAAGAAGATACCATATATTTATGCAATTAATGCTCTGGCCAATTCCAGCTTTAAGTATTATGTGATTCAACATATCCTGCAGAGCATGGGGAGAGACTATCATAGACATCCAGAGAAGATTATTATTCTGACAGAATTCCCCTGTGTGATTTATATACTTGAGATGATAGATTGCTGTATCCTTTTTTCTTGTGTTTTCTTCCCCAGCTAACTTTCCATACAGTGACTGCAGAAGCAAGACTACTGTATTGCAGCAGTCTATAGCAGTATAAGTGTTGAGGACTGAGACATGTGCATTAATGTCTTCAATCAGGATCTGCCACTGCCTGGAGGTGAGACTGATGCAAGTCCAGGTGTTCTAATCAGCACTCTGGAGATTCTAAACATGAATTATATCTGTATTTGTATCTTCTGACTTATTCTGCTAAGTCTGAGCTGGTTGAAGAAGAATGAGACTCAAGACAAGACATGCATCTGCTGCTACAGGCAGATGAATGAAATTATGTACACCTACTGCCTGGTGTGCAGAGATGTCCAGATTGAAAGCAACATTCTTGACTGGCAGGCAATGCAGAAGAGTTTCAATAAACTGGTCATATTGCTGCAGAGAGAGATTGGTATAGTTTCAGACATTATTGATCTGGATACAGTATGAGGCCTGGTGTGGCCACATGGCTGTGAAATTTAAAAAGAAACACTTAAGAATTATGCAGCACTTCTGTCAAGATGACTGGATATTATTAGAGATATATGGAACAATCATGACTGTTTGCTCTAGACTATTTGTTCTGGAGAGTTGAATAGATCAGTAGTTAGATCTAATCAAAGCAATTTTAGCTGAAAGCCATCCATTGTATCTCTCACTGTAGTTGTGTCCATGCTGAATACTCAGCAGTTGGATGTGCTGATGAGCCTTCAGTCTGGTGACAGTGTGACTGACTAATATTAGCATTCTATCAAGTTTGTGCTGGCATAGCCACTGATGCTATTGAGACTTGGTGCCTGTGGCCTTTCATTCAAGAAGAGGATCCCCTTGCCCAGAGATATGCAAGATGTGTCATGACATGGCAATGCTGAGTCTCTTTTGCTAGTCTGGAGCTTGAGATGCTGCTGAAGCTTCACAGTCTTTAAGTATGATGCAGCAGAACATCTGAATGTGTTTGATTTGGGGTGCTTATAGTGATGCTGGCTCTTCCTGATCAATCTTAACTGCTGATGTTGGCCACCAACATCAGCTAACACCAATACCAACTGGAACACAGTTCCTCCAAAGCATGAGGCCACAGACTATTGGCTGTGAGTGTTGACCACTAATTTCTACCATCAATTTTCATTGTCATCAATTTTGGCTGACAGTTTTTAATAAGCTGAACCTGTTGCAGATGCACAAGATGTGTTTTAACCATTGAGTTTGGTCATCAATTTTGACTGTCAATTTTTACCATCATCAATTTTGACCATTGTCAATTTTGACTGTCAATTTTTACCATTGTCAATTTTTGCTGTCAATTTTGACCATCAATTTTGACCATCATCAATTTTGGTCATCAATTTTGGTTGTTGATTTTGACCATCAATTTTGACCATCATCAATTTTCGCTGTCAATTTTGACCATCGTCAATTTTGGTCGTCAATTTTGACTGTCAATTTTCGCTGTCAATTTGGTTCGTCAATTTTGGTCATCAATTTTGACTGTCAATTTTGACCATCAATTTTTACCATTGTCAATTTTCGCTGTCAATTTTGACCATCAATTTTGACCATCATCAATTTTGGTCATCAATTTTGACTATCAATTTTTGCTGTCAATTTTGGTTGTCGATTTTGACTGTCAATTTTGACCATTGTCAATTTTGGTCGTCAATTTTGACCGTCAATTTTCACCATTGTCAATTTTCGCTGTCAATTTTGGTCGTTGATTTTGACTTTCAATTTTCACTGTCAATTTGGTTCGTCAATTTTGACTGTCAATTTTCACTGTCAATTTTGGTCGTCAATTTGGTTTGTCAATTTTGACTGTCAATTTTTGCTGTCAATTTGGTTTGTCAATTTTCACTGTCAATTTTCACTGTCAATTTTTACCATTGTCAATTTTGGTTGTCAATTTTGACCATCAATTT